TTTGGGTTTGGGTTTGGGTTTGGGTTTGGGTTTGGGTTTGGGTTTGGGTTTGGTTTGGTTTGGTTTTTTTTTTTTTTGGTTTTTCGAGACAGGGTTTCTCTTTATAGCCTGGGCTGTCCTGGAACTCACTCTGTAGACCAGGCTGGCCTCGAACTCAGAAATCCACCTGTCTCTGCCTCCCAAGTGCTGGGATTAAAAAAATATCCACTTGTTGACACACTCAGGAATCCCATAAAAACACTAACATATACACAGAGGACCTGGTGCAGATCTTTGTGGGCGCTGTGCATGCTGCTGTTGTCTCTGTGTTCATATGAGCTTTGTTCATAAATGTTGCTTTATGACTGTGTGTTTGTGTGAATGCCATGGCACACATGTGAGCTCAGAGGACAAGTTGGTTCTCTCCTTTCACTTTGTGGTTCCTGAGACTTGAACTCACATCATCAGGCTTGTCAGCAAGTGCCTCAACTCGCTGAGCCGTCTCATTGGCCCTAAAATTTTGCTTCTAATGAAGTCAAGGATCTATGAAAGAGAGGTGTCCTAATAAAAGTCATGGTATGTGTTAAAGAGAAGGATGAAGGAAGAAGTAAAACAGAAGGAGAAGCTAAGACAGAAGACAAGAGGATGATGAGAAGAAGTGTGACTCAGGTCTCTTGTTCCTGGCTGTCACTCGCTTACACATCCATCCATTCATTGTCTTACTGCAATTCACGGAGCAGTGCACGAGTGCTCAGTTGGCATGTGAAAGGACAGGTGAAAGGAGATTGAAAGTGGCATTTTAGCCAGGTTGTGGTGGTGCACACCTTATCCCAGCATTTGGGAGGCAGAGGCAAGCAGATCTCTCAATCTGAGGCCAGCCTGGTCTACAGAACGAGTTTCAGGACAGTCAGGGCTACACCAAGAAGCCCTGTCTTAAAAAACATTTTTTCTTTCTTTCTTTTTTTGTAATTTCTCTCTCTCTCTCTCTCTTTCTCTCTCTCTCTCTCTCTCTCTCTCTCTCTCTCTCTCTCTCTCTCTCTCTCTCTCTCTCTCTCTCTCTCTCTGTGTGTGTGTGTGTGTGTGTGTGTGTGCCTGCATGAGTAGGTGTACCATGTGCACGCAGGTTTCTGCAGAGGTCAGAAGTCAGTGTCAAATTCCCTGAAAATGAAGTTACAGGTGCCTGGGAGCCAGCATCATGGGTTCTGAGAACCAAACCACAGTCTCCTGCAGGAGCGCTAGCACTCTTAACCACAGAGCCATTTCTCCAGCCCGGAAACTTTACACCTTGTACATGTTTCTGCTCTGTGTGAAATACTGCTCTCTTTTCCTGTTCTTCCTCTGCCAAAAGTTTCACTAGGTGTCACCACCAACCCCACAACCCTCCCAACACAGGGAAGCCCCACATGCTTCCTTTCAGTTACCAGCAATGCTGACACATCCTGTTATAGCTGCTACCACATGCCTCAGTCATTCTTTATTCAGATGTCTACGTTTGCTAGTAGAGAGTGAATTCCTAGGTCCAGAAATAACAGTTTAGGTAGTACGTGCTCAGTAAACATCAATTGTTTGTCCTACAGTGGCATGTGGAAAGAAAGTGAAGTCGATTATTGAGTAACTACTAGAAACACCAAATTCTACGATATCTTCTTACTCTCACTCTGCTCTCACTTCTCTTTGCATAGGATGTTATTATGTAGCTCAGGCTGACCTGGAATTCCAAATGTAGACCAGGCTGGCCTTGAACTCACAGAGATCTACCTGCCTCTGCCTTCAAGTGCTGGCATTCACCACACTACTATGCATCACACAATGATGGAGACAGTTCTGAATCCTTAGTTGATTTCATGGTTGTAACACCACAGAATATACCTGCAGACACCCCAATGGTATAGTGGACTATCCGTCTTGGCTTCATTGGATGTAAATATGTATATGGTATTGCTTACTGTCCCCAGGGCCACGATAAATAAAATTCCATGAGGCCAAATAGGCATGAGAGAAAATGATGCAATGAAGAGCGACAGAGAGAACAAGTCCTGAGGTCACTGCTCATGAGCTGTGGTGTACTGTTTTGTAGTCATCATGCTGCTTTGTATATAGGGGGAGTGGAGGGTGGGGAGATGGCCCAGTCAGCAAAAAGCTCGTTGTGTCAGCACGAGGGGAAAAAATGATCCAGGTTCAAAGTGAGATCCTACCTGGAAAGATAAGGTGGAGATCTACTGAGGAAGATGCCTGATGTTGACCTCCGGTCTCTGCATGTATATGTACCCACATACATGTACACACATACATGTACACACATACATGTACCCACATACATGTACACACATACACGTACCCACATACATGTACACACACATGTACCCACATACATGTACCCACATACATGTACACACACATGTACCCACACACATGTACCCACATACATGTACCCACACACATGTACCCACATACATGTACACACATACATGTACCCACATACATGTACCCACATACATGTACACACATACATGTACACACATACATGTACACACATACATGTACACACATACATGTACACACATACATGTACACACATACATGTACACACATACACATGTACAAAATTAATGAGTAGAGGAGTTGTTTTAAAATAATAAGAGTATAGTAGAGTTAAACCTTAAACCTCTCGTCCTTGTCAAGCAACCCGCACTGTGTGTAGCTGTGTGTATTGTGTGTAGCTGTGAGGTCCTGAGATCAGCAGGGCAGCGGGTTTGTTTACACAGCATCTCAGCAATCAAAGGAAAAGCGCCTTGCACATCTTGATGACATCAGCATCACCAGGGTCTGCGACATCCCAGTCCTATGAGACACCACTGCACGTGTGGCCCAGTGCCAACCAAAATTTCACTACACAGCACATGACTGTGTACATATGAATAAAACTGAAGGTGAAGAGCCACTTTATTAGAAATAAGAGAATATTCTCAAACTGGGAGAGACATGCCAGATCTATTTAGAATGAATGGTACTTTCGCGGCTTAGTTATCTTAACTCTAAAGGCGTATAATATTTTGAAGTCAATGTTTTACCAAGCCAACATGGTATATACATGGCTGAAATTCAACCAGTTTACACATACCAAAACATGTGAAAGGCCAAGAGGCTATCAACTTGATTTTAAAAATAAGATTGCCTCAGTGATATTAGCAGCATAGGCTATGTGATTCAGTTTACCCATTTGAATTCAGTGGCTTGTGATGTGGGGCTTTACCAATAGGTCCACTTTATACATTTTCAGTAACTTGTACTGTTGGGACTTTACCTATTGGTCCACCCTGTCTGTAGTCAGTTGCTTGTGATGGAGGGACTCTACTCATGTGTCCTTTGTAGATGGTGGATCGGAACATCACTTCTCATATGGTTCCTTCTTGCAAATGTTATCCATCTGTATTGTGGGCATGATACTTTTTAAATTGTGTAAAAAAACTTCTTTAAAAATTATCCCATTGACCACATACACTCTCCTATTCTTCTGATTTGTAATCAACCACAAAAGATACTAGCAAGTAACCTTCTGGTCATGACCGAGTATTCTGCATGTCCTTGCTGTCTCCAATGAGGACATATGTGATCTTTCACAATTCATCACCCTTTTCCTAATTGGACTCTGCCTGAGTCCATGTTGGGAAATGTGTTCTGTAGGCTATTTGCCTTTTTAGTTTGAAAAGGGAACAGACATTGAAACATGTGAGTGACTGGGAACTGGCAAGCCTTCTGCCAAACTGTGAGAAGGGAGTGGCTTGCCAACTTGTTTCTGAGTGTTTCTTGGCGTATACACTGACACAAATGGTACGTCTATCAGCTTCTCTAGGTAAGTGGGTATCAGCCTATGGGTAGTGACCCCTTTGTGGGTAGAAAAACCATTTCAACAGGGGATGACTAAGACCATCAGAAAACAGGGATTCTTTTACATTAGGATTCAAAAGAGTAGCAAAATCACAGTTACAAAGTAGCAACAAAAATAATTTTATGATTGGGGGTCACCACAACATTGGAATTGTATTAAAGTGTCACAACATTAGGAAGGTTGAGAACTACTACTCTAGGCTCATCTTCCCTTGAGGGTTCAATGGAGCTGGGACAGAACAAATAAATCAGAAGACCCAACTTCTTGAGGGAAAGTGTTTCCATTTCATGTGACTTAAAGAAACTGAGCTTTGTTCCTCCTGGACCCAGCCCTGGCCACCGTCACTCTCTTCACTATTACAGGTCATCCAGCATGTCCTCTGGACGGAGAGAAGCTTTTGAGTCACTTGAGGAAATAGCTCTTTGCAGAGGAGATGATGCTAGGTTCCAATGCTGGGTGCCAATAGACAGGACACTGTGTCATGCCACTGGCATGGCATGACAACATCTGTGTACAACAGTCTGTCTGTGCATCTCTATATTGACATTTTAACATTTCATATACTTTGACTTTTAGTTTTGTTTTATTAGTGTGCATACCCCAAAGTGACTAAGCATCAGACTTAAGCACACTTGTTAGTTAGGAAAGAAACTGGTCAATCAATTAATCAAAATGGTCTACTGACCACCTTAGCAGCATGTGGTTATAACATGGCACCACTGAAAAGTTAGATAAGGTGCCTTTAAGAGTCAAAGGACAAGTTAAACTCAATTCTCTCCCACACTGGTCTCCAAAGTTAAACCAGTGGAAACAAGAGACTCAGGTTGGGCTAACTCTCCCTTCACTCCTCCAGCACTTATGAGAGGTGACAAAGAACCGAGGTCCAAGCAGTTTGCAAGGATGTTTAAGACACAGTCCTTGGACTCTAAAGCCAGTGAAAACAAACACGTGAAGACATTGCTGGATGAAGGGTCTCTTGTGTAAGAGAGATGTTTGCAAAGAAGATTGAAGGTAACTGCTTTGTTGGTTGCACAAGGTGAGAGAGGGGTCTGGCACTGTCATGTGACATCTGAGAGGCCTTCAGAGGGTTGTGAGACAAGCAGAAACCACTGGGTGAAAAGTCAACACTTGGAGGTCGTGGGTCTTTTCAAACAGTAGGACCCAGCACCACTGGCACCAGAGAATGAAGGAGGAAGCCCTAGTTGGAGTGAACAGCCTACTTTTCTGTGATATTAGGTGCACAGTGGGGACCTAAAGTGGAACAAAGGCCTGGGACATTAAATGTCCAGCAAGCGGTGGGATTAATTTCATGCAGGAGGCAGGCATGGACACCAAACAGGAAGCTATTACATCAATCAGCTCTTTCATGCATTCATTACTTTGGTTTGAATGTCTCCGCCAATGCTCATGTTAAAATTTAATTCCCACTGTGAAGTAAAGTGATGGGTCCAGGCAGGCTCTATAAGAGGAGATTAATCCATCCTGGATTAATGGATTAGGAGGAAATGCGTTATCTCAAGAGTGGCTTTGTAAAGAGAACTTTCCGGTTTCCTCTTTATCTTACTGTGTGACACCTTGCACTGTCCTGGCACTCATCAGAGTCCTCACCAGCATTAATGTGCTCAACAATCTGGGTTCCTTGATCTTGGACTTCTCAGCTTCCCTAACTACATACACAGTACACTTCTTAAAAAAAGTCTCCAGGTTGTAGCATTTTCTTACATCAACAGAAAACAGACTAAGATAATCATCTTTAAGAAGGCAGTTTTGTGTGTCTTATCTGTCAGGTACCTGCACACTCGAGGGAGGAGCTGCACATGGAGCTCTCAGGAGACAGAGTCCAGAGGGAAAGAAGAGTCATATTTTTTACAGGCAAGAGCTCTGATGGAGGTGAACACAGGGTACTCTTAGAGGATCCAAGACAAGAGACAGATTGAGTCTTGAGGGATAAGCAGAGACTGGTCAAAGAATGAAGACTAGGAGGTGTACGCTGGTCAGAAGGAACAGCTGGTGCAGGGATCTTTAGCAACCTCATACCCGTGGCAGCTCTAGTCCAGGATGAGGGAAATTGCTTTTCTAATAGCTACCTTTATACATTAAATAATGACCACAGTAGTCTAGCAACTGTATGATATGTTCCAGGCACTGAATGATTTTGATCACATATTTGTTTGTTTGCAGTACTGGAAAATGAACTTAATGCCTTGTGCATGTGAAACATGAGTTGTGCCCTGATTATACCCTTCAGCCCAAACTCTGTTGTATTAATTAATTTGTTTGTTCATTTGTTTGAGGCAGAGTCTTGTGTATCTTAGGCTTGGCTTCAGTTTGCTATGTAGTCAGGGATGAGCCCTACTCTTCCTGTTTCTACCTCCCAAGTCCTAGGATAACAGGTGTGTACTCCCTGGTTTATCGGTGCTGGGGATGGAAGCCAGAGTGCTACGAATGCTAGCCAAGTCCTCTACGAATTGAACCACATCCCTGGTCCAGATAGTGTTTGTTATGCACAGTGACTTGTTTAATTATCACAAAGGGCATTACCATTCTCATTTTACAAACTTTCCCCCTTCAGTGTCCCAGAGTCAGGAAGCTTGGGTGAGGGGTGATGGAGGAGTCTGTGTGCTTTGAGATAAGACATGTAGGTGACAACTAGAGAGAGAAGGTGACAGTGACTTGAGTTTAAGTTTGGACATTACCTGTCATATCCCCACCAACACTCAAGTTGAAATTCAATCTCTCTTGTGATATTAAGGTATTAAGAGCTGAAATCAGACAGGACCCGTCCATGGTGACTGGGTCATCAGGGCAGAGTAATTGGTCCATGGGTTAGTGCATTACCTTGAGGGTGGGCCTACTGCAGAAACTAGTTTGATTTTGTTTCTTTTCTGTGCCCCAGGCATGAAGTCACACCCTCTGCCACCTCAGGATACTTCAGAGTGTCTCTACCTTCTAAGAGATCCTCTCCAGATGAGGCTTCTTGACCTCAAACTTTCCAGCTTCCAGAACCACTGGCTGAGTGAATGTGTATTACGTATAAATGATCCACTTCCTGGTATTTGGTTGTAGCAACAGAAAACTGACTGCAGCAGACATATTGAGCTCCAGTTGTTTGTGAACAACATGGAAATGTCAGCAGCTGTTAAATTCTAACCTCGGGAGAAAGGCCTGGGTAGAAATAAGGATTAGAGACAAAAAAGAAACCTAGGCAGAGGAAACCTAGCATTGTTAACCAGGTAAAGGTCACCGTGCCTTCCGTGTTTAACTCTTTCAACGGCCAAATAAAGTTGATAGCCACCATGATTTTAC